CGGGTATACCTATCCTTATGCGGACCGCTCATTCACTTCTATGGGAAAAATGCTAATGCTAACTAAGAGAACCTGAACTCCTACCCAGCCCTAACCCTAACCCTAACCATAGCCATAAGTAACCAAGCAAAATACAAGAGTTTTTGCATTTTTATTTTTTCATAGCAGTCACTGATAAGGTCCCCATAAGGAGGGAAAAACAGATATTTATGATGTTGTGGGGACATTGTGTCTCTCAAGCAGTCAGGATGGTAACATCTGAGGTAATTTGGTCACAATTCAGTCCAGCTTGACTGTCAGTAAAACTGGGGTAAAGTTTTAGAAAGTAATCTCTTTCTAGCACTATTCCCCCTTTTCCACAGTCTTAATAATTCTTTTCTCTTCCTCATTTTCGTCTTGAACTTGCACAATCATCTTCCATGTCTAGAGAGTAGGGGACCAATTAACGGAAAACCTCTGAGGACAGGGGACCAATGACAGAGCAGCACTGCAATGAACCACTCCTAGATGGAGGAATATATGGATGTTACTGTAGCCTCGTTCAGATGACAGGGGACCAATCACAGAGCAGAACTGCAATCAGACAGTCCCAGAGGGATGAATGTATGGATGTCAGCCACGTCTGCGGATAGGGCCGAGTTACAGAGCGTCCTGGGTATGTGGTAAAAACAGCACATCGATCAGTATAACATTTTGCCAAAAAGAATACATATTGGAACATTGCTATACAGACATTCGTATCATGCCAGGCAATCATATGAAATGCAGACATTTGGAGACTACAATACGGAGAATTCTGCTTTCTATTGTCATGCTCTCCATTGTCCTGCATTTGGTGTCTTTAGAACTTACTCAGTGTCTCAATAATATAGGATCATACTTACCAGAATGCAGAATCCATCCATCTTCCCACTGCATATCCTGACCAGGAGTCATGGGAGCCAGGAGCCTATCGCAGGCAGCACAGGGTACAGGGACACACCCTAGATGGCATGCCGTTTAAATTATGCGAAATACAATTTAGCAATATACTGTACTGTATGAATAGTGTTAAAGTGGTTAATTGTGGATTAATGTTATATGGTAGATATTACACACACACACACACACACACACACACACACACACACACACACACATATATATATAATATATAGTTTCATTTTATTTTGAATACTATTTTTTGTGGAGTCTGGGGCTATCATACTCTGAGCTATGACCTGTTTTTGAAGGGAGCTCTGACTCATTTTCTGCATAACTGTGATAGCTACACAAAAGAATGTTAGGATTTTTAAGGAAAGCACCAAAATCTCTCCTATTCCTGTGAAAGAAATCAACGTATTTCTTCCTTTTACGTTTCTATGAACTCAGAGTTCATATTGTACTGCGGAGTAACATAACAGGCTATTGTTTCAGCTAAAAAGGAAGTCTGAAGGTTATGCTTGTTATATTGGGCACACGACCAAAGAGAGGCTGTACTGTGAACTAGCAAGTGTAGATAAACAGTTGGAGGAAAGGTATGGGGTGAGTCTGGTTTGTAGGGAACTGCAGTCAAGCTGAATGACAGTGAATATCAACCTGTGTGAGGCTCTCTGAGTCATGTGACACGGGAACGAGAGGACAGGATGCGGGCTGATATTTCAGCCTGGGTGAATTAGCTACAACAGTGCGGTGTAGCCAAAAAACAAGAAAAACCACAGGCAGGAGTGAGCTGAATGGGTGCACACCTTACCTGTGTGGTTACCCCACTGTGTCGTAACATAGCCTTAACTCTAAAGCAACTGTCCAGTTTCAATTTACATGTAACCAGTAATGGATAGTTCAGATCCCGAATGTAGAAATTCAGATCATGGATTTGCTTCAACCAACCAGTTCACTATAGAGTACCCAACTGGTTGGTTGAAGCAAATTCTCACGTCTTATCAGCAATGTGCCATGTCTAAAACGCATGGCCTTATATTAGCGCTTTAAACATTCATGGAAACACCAAAGCTACAGTATATATTCCTCTGTGGAAGGACAATGTTAAATAAAACACATTAAACTTGTCGTTGCAACCAGGTGAAACAGGCAGAATAAATATGAACAATGAATTGAATTTCTTGATAGGTGTCAAGTTCAAAGTAATGTGCGATGTTTTAAACGCACCCCCCCCCCCGTCACTCATTCCTGTATGACCTGCACAAATGTTTTGCATAAGATTCTTATGTGTGACACCTGCTGGACGGTCAAAGTTCATGTTTATTAGCAAGGTGGGTTTGGTAAACACATTGAAATGCCTGCCCTTTGCTCACTGTTAATGGTAGTACTTATTTGCACAAGGATGAGAATCAATTCAGTTTATGACAGAAACTGTGCAAGACGCTGTCAACAAGTACAAAACTCTAGTGGTTATCGGGTGTACAGGAAATTATGGCCAGTGTGATATCAACAAACCATTGTGGAAGCCCAGGACTGAAAATCTAAAAAATGAAAGGTAACATAAAATTTACTTCCCCAAATAACTTTTGCATTAATATCAACAACACATACTTTGTGGAGGTTTTTACACAGATTAAGGGGGCAAAAAAAAATAGCCTGAAGCTTAATGCAGTTTGTGCAGTTTGGGTATGGCTACTAAAAACCCACAAATATAAGTTCCCGAATACAGCATTGTAGAATATTTGAAATCTTGAATAAAATCTAGAAAAACAAAGTTGCAAAACAAATATTCAGTATTCACCTTTTTCTTTTCTACAGAACTACAGGCCTTCAACTAATTTTGTAAATGTCATGTTCTAATGATTCAAGAGCTGGTGTGAGGGCAAAACAATAAGGTGTTTGAGGACATGGGAACAGTGCAAACAAAAGGTACAGCTAGCAAACAGGGAAATCAGTGGGGCAACATCAAGGACCAGACTGTGGAGCACAGGACTGGGAGGCACTCTTATATTGGACTAACGAGGGAGCAGACGAGAGGCAGCTGGAGTAACCCACACATGGGCTGAAGCGAGAGGTAAGACAAACAATCAACAGGACTGGCTCGTTAGAGCCACACTAGGGAGAGAGCAAGGGGGCAGGAATGCAGGGCGTGACAGTCAATTAAAGATTCAGGTAGTTTGGTGTAAGATTGGTTATGCCTGAGGGTTTTGGTGCTGCAGTTAAGCAGGTAATTTATGAACTGCATATTTTTCTATTATATTTATAATCATTCAAGGTTCTCTTTGTCTAGTACAAAGCCATAGTTTGTGTTACTGACTTTAAAAATATGGCTGATGCTGGAATATGCAAAAGGGCTGTAATCTGAGCCTTGTTTATAATTGGATGGCCGTCTTTCACTTCCACGGACTTCTGATGTGTTTGGAGGCATAAACATTTTACCAAGCGTGCTAGATGGTGGTTGGCTGAGAATTGAAATGTTATACTCTAGTGCAGATTGCTTTTGTTAGGTGGTGGGAAGTTTGTGGGCCTGTGAGTCACCTGCAGCCGGAAGGTCATCAGCTCAAATCAAGCCTTTAACCCCAATCACTGCTCTATTACTAGAAAAACGGCTGATTCAGCTCTCTGACCCCAAGCTTCACTTTTATCTGTGTGTGTATTACGTTACTAGACAGCAAGATTGAATTTCATGGTCATCTTAATGGGGAGTGGATTAATGTATGGGGTATCCTAAGCTATAGCCTAGGGCCCTATCAACCATCAGAGTCCCTTCCCACCCCGCCTTGGGAAAAAATGGAATGGTTAGTTAAATCAGCAACACCAGAATGTCCCTGATGATGTCAGCCTAGGGGCTCCGGATAAGTTTATCTGCCCCATTTGTAATTCAAATCCATGGAAATGGATGATCTCCCTCATTCAGCAGCTAAACCACAGGTGTCAGACTCCAGTTCTGGGGGGCCAGAGCCCTGCACATTTTTGGGTTTCCTCTCATTTTACACACCTGATTCAACTTCTTGTGCTAATTACCACATAGCTGTTGAGCTGAATCATTTGTGGTGGAACAGGGAAAGAACTAAGCTACACAGGGCTCCGGCCCCCCAGGACTGGACTTTGACACCCCTGAGCTAAACCATAAGTGACATAAAGGCTTCTTGGTGAGGGGGCACTGGAAGCTTAGACAGACAGGCCAGCAGAATGACAGACATATATAGACAAGCAAGTATGCTGGTAGGCAGAGAGACAGATGAACAGACAGGCAGGCAGACCGATGGATAGGCAGACAAACAAAACACCAGACAGAATGTTTAAATGAGCACTTATGTGCAGAGCTTCTTGCAATACCATAGATTTACAAACAAAACATTACATTTTCAATGGGAAACAATATAGTAAATGTGGAAATTCTTTTGGAAAACCTTGCATGAGGGCTGTATGAAATTAGGATAACCAAGACCTAATCCACACACACACAGATTATTGCCATACCCACATGTCCATCTGATTAACATGGGTTAAACACTATATCAGATCCATTTTTGCTGTTCTGAATTTGCTTTGAGCTCCAAATCCACACCCAACCTCTCTAGCACATTGATTCGAGGCATGGATTTGAAGCCTTTTTTTAAACTATTGCTTACTCTACACAGATCCAGACTCAATCGCCTTTCAACCTGACAGAATGGCCTTGAATTGGAACAGACTCCCTTGACTGACTAACTGTATGTTTCTAGGAGATTTTGAGATCCATGTATCCAATAATAAGGGTTTCTGTTCCGTAATAATGGAAACTAGACAGCTGTGTCTTGTTTGGACAGATCCCGGTCCTGACCACCTAGGTCCAATGGTAGAAAATATGCTGATCACCATTGAATTTTACTAGCAATTACAAGAAGATAATAGCAAAAGAAAGAAAAGAAAAGCTCTCTGCTGGTTTGATTAAGTCAGGGTTTATGTGTCAAAAGGAGGAACGGCCCTTACAGATCACTTGGTTGGATACATTGTAAAAAAATGATTATTTATAAATGCTGACTGTTTAACTATTGCACATACATGTTTGTGTGAATAAGAAGACAAACCATAGCTCCACATAAATCAGTTTTATACAGTGTACATTGAGAAAATGGCACACTTTCCTGTACATACATGTCCGGTGGTTTCCATCAGCTCAGGCAGACTGCTTCAACCCAGTGCAACACATTTCCTTTGGTGCAGTTTATTAGACTCACTGTTTTTATTTTAATTATTGTTGCGATTTTGGGCCCCTTGAAAGCATATCATATTGGACCCCCCACCCAGACCAATCCAGTTATGTTCCATAGTTTCAGAGCACCTGTCACTTAGGGAATCATCCTAATTTTCTGCCCCTGTATGGTCCCCCTGACTAGCAATACTTTATTAAATAAGACTACCATTAACATTGTGCACTATTAAATTAGTTGTAGTATTTATTGACATCTTAAACAAGGAATAGCAAAACCAGCAGCTAATTGCATTATAATTGCAGTCGTTCTGTTCCAGAGGAGACTGGGGATCTGGACCCAGTAGGGCCCCTGGACAGGATGCCAGTCCGTTGCAGGGCCCACACTGTACAGCCCGTACAGTAACTGCACGTTAAGAAAACACTTTGCCTGCAAACCATGCCCTGCATATGACCATTATAATTTCACTCAACGACCATGGAGGGAATGTAAACTTCTTGTGCTGCTGTAGTGTAAAATGCTGTTGAATTCAAGATGGAATTCATTAAAATTCATTGTAATATATTGTACAATCTCAATTAATTTAATCCTAAAAAAAGGGTATTACATTGTTTTCTTGAAAAATAATAAAAATAACTCAAATACATATTTGAGACAATAATTTTCAATAGCTGAAATTCTTTAGTCAAAATAGGAGGTGCACTACAAAAAAAATCTTGATAATTATAAAAGTAGGAAACTGTATAAAATATATAATGTATCAATGAAATAGTAAGGCATTCAGTGTTCAATTTGCATCCCATTTGCATGTATGTGTTTACACATTTGAGAAAATGCACTTTTTCCACATACATGATATATCTTAAACAATACATTTCAAGGCAGTTGATTTCAATCTAAACCTGGTTTTTGTTCTTGTCCAGATACAGGGGTGCATGCCAGGGCGGGGCCACAAAGGCACCGGCCTCAACTGACAGCTGATTGGCCCTTGTAGTGTCCCCTTGCCTGTCACTCACCTATCATTGGTGAATGATACGGTTGGCTCCTCTATGAATTATGGCCTCTCTTATGCTGCTCACCTTAAAAACATCCCACAATCACCCTTGTCCTGAATACAAACGTCCATCCACTGTGTCTCCCGATTCCTTCAGCCTATTCCCAGCAGGAGTATGGATGTGAGCTCCGGTAAGGCACTAGCATTTGCTGTCAGTATCTGAGGATTTAGGTGAGAGCCAGGGGGCCCCATGACTCCCCCCGTGTGTCTACTGGTAGCTCCGGTGTGGAAGTGTGGCTGATCCCAGGGTATAAGCTGTCTTGCTCTGGGTACTTCACAGAGGGGTTCTCTGAGCTGAGGGTCTCAGTGCTGCCCCCCATGGCCGAGGAGTTCACCTGCAGCACCAAACAGTTGCACATTACAAGATTATGGACGGTCAGAAGATACCACAGGATCATTCACAAACCATTTTTCCCCCTTATAAAATTTTATGGAGTGAAGGAAATCTCTTTGTTTTTTCAGCAAGTCAAACCATAGTGTAATGTTTTATAAAAACGTGGTCGTCTATATAATAATGAGTGAGACTTGCTATGGTTAGCTCTGTGAAGATGCATGAAGATGAAGATGCAGATGCATGCAGCACAAGGACGGGAAGATGGAACCAAGACTTTAGGATAGTTTGGTGGTTTAAAAAACCAATGGAGAGTAATAAGCACCAAAGACAACAGTTGGGTAACAGAAAACAACAAGCAACGAAAATAAAACAAGTGCAGAGACTACAAACGATGACAGGAAGCTGGACATGGGGTCTGCTTTGTCTGTTTCTCTTGGAAGATCTGTGAACGATGCTTCATTCACCATTTGTGCAAGTACCCAGGAATCCTTTGATTTTAACACATACTGCTTTGCTCTCTTTTCAGACACAAACTTACCCCCAGTGGCCTACCCTGCAACTGCAGCATAGGAATTCCATTGTGATGCTTAGAACACATGTAACAATAACCTTGAAACAGTTTATCTGTCACCCCTGGGACATTTTTAAGAGCTAAAGGCCTCGGGTCCATGGTGCAGAGGATTTAAACCAGCAACCTTCTGATTACTGAAGGTTACTGGTCTTTTGCTGTTTTTGCACTACCAGCTTTTACATATTGTACAGATGGTATTTATCTTATATGTTTATACTTTTATAAACTACGAAGAGGAGAGAGAAACAGCATTTCGATTCCATTGTATGTTATGGACATATAGTGAATTGACAATAAAAGGCTATTTGATTTGATCTGATTACATGTACAGATTGTTCATTTACTGAGCCACATCCAACGCCCCATCCAGCACCCTTTAGGGGAATTTTGGGGAATTAGTCCAAAATCAAGCAGATCTTAAATCTTTGGGGTCTGAGGCTTCTCAGACACTTCTCAGGTAGTCTGACATGCCTTGACATTTTTAAATATATCACTAAAGTGCTACAAATGCTTTTATTCAGCATAAACTCAGAACAAATAATCTGAGACCATTTAGAATGTCATTATTGTATTTTTTTTGTTAAAATGAACTTTAAGCATACATTTTTCAAAAACCTACTTTCAGAGGTGCTGAGAAATTGTAAAAAATTACATTATAAACATTTCTAGCTTAAAAAGACTTTGAGCTCCGGGGCTTACATATACAGACGCTCCTCTATTTGCGAACGTTCAACTTACAAACCTTCAGACATACTGTACGAACGAAGCGGACTTTAAGTCCAAATTGTGTTAATTGGGCTCCCGTTTCCCGTCCACAACTTCAATTTTTTTTTCTGCTTGCCAATTCCGCCTATTATGACTTCTGGCCGCTACTCCCTCCGCGCAGCAGCGTAGCGTGCGGACTCCCAGCATCCTAGTTCTTTGTACTTGCGTATACCCTTAAAATTATGTTTAATAAGACTTACGAACATTTCAAGTTACGAACGTCTGTTCGGAACGTAACTCGTTCATAAGTAGAGGAGCGTCTGTATACATAGGGGTTGGTTATACACAGGCAAGCGAGATATTCGGAGATTTCATGTGGTTTGATTACTAAAGCATGAAGTGAACTTTGGAGTGACACTATTTTCTTTTAAGTCAGTGGCCTTCACAATGAATGTTGATGAGACAGGTGTCATCACACCTGTAATAGTTTGCATACTGTCAATGGTCCGTCAGTCTGCAAAGTTACTGTTACTGCCCCCCACGGCCATCAGTTTGGAAAGTCAGTGTGAATTGCAAGAAAAGAAGAGACAATAATAGCCTTTTTACAGTTTATAACATGCAACGAATTAAACGCTGATGAATAAAAAGTGCAATCACATTATATTACTGGAAGAATACAAAACAATAAATGAATATTAGAACAATAAATTGTCAGTCTTGATCAGGATGCCAAGTTTCATTCGGAAACTGTCTTTAAGGGTCCAAGCACGTAGTGCTATGGAACCTTATTGTTATTGTTCAGTTTTGTTTTTGCCGCTGCGATGTTTTGGTTTGCTAAACGCCACAATGGAATATATATTCATATTTTACTGCTTAACTGGGGCACATTTTCCAAAAGCAACTTAGATTCAGTTGCTTGGTTCTAAATGTGTAAGTTGTTAATGTAATTAGCAACTCTGCTTTAAATTATAGAATTATAGAAGTGATTTACTGCAAAAGTTAATATTTTAAGAAAAATCTTATTTCCAGCAAATACTCTCCATGCTTGTGGGAGTTTTACTTACACAACATTGTTCTGGGGGCAGAACAAAAAATGACATTAGACATAACTAATCAGATTGTAGAGGAGGTTATCTCTCTGAACCAATCATTTTTCATTCTGCCCTCAGAACATTTTTGCGAAAGTAAAACTCCCATGAACGCTCCGTACCTCAGTGAGTGACGCCTCTGTTTGTGGAGATCGTGTCTTCGAGAAGTCCTCAGGATTGGTGGACACGTTTGGGATTATTATGGCAGCTGTGTTAATGGTCCCTATGGAAAGATGCCCACACTGAAGCTGAATACACTTCATGAAAACTAACTTTGGACAGCGTTTTATATGCTATAGCCATGTCACAATACGTGCTGGAAAGTTACCGTTTGTACTCTTGTTCTTGTTCAAAGCCTTTGGTTTTCTTTTTCTAGTCTGAATTCCTTCTTTCTTCATGGCAAGAGGCCTCGGAACCTATAGAAGATCATGGTGTAATTAGAGTCTATTTATGTACATTTTATTTACCACATTACATTTATTTACATTTGCTTTTCCAGAACAACATAAAAAGTAACACACAGGGTCAGACAGTCCCTGAATGAACTGGTCTTTGCTCAAGGGCCCAGCAGTGAAGTCACCCTGCATATTATGGAATTTGAACCAGCAGCCTTCTGATCACAGGCACAGATACTTAAACCACAGAGCCACACAGGTTTATATAACCCCAACAATAAAATGGCCATAACACCATGTGGGATTGGTTCCAAAAAGTACTTTAACACTAAAATAATCTCAAAGCAAGCTAAAAATGCAAAGTAAAGAAAAAGGCACTATAAAGCCTCAAGCAGCCGACTTGAGAATGAGCTCAACCACTTGGCTTCACTGCACATAGGACACTAAACTTAAGTGCTTTTGTGTTGCTAAGATGGGCTTTTTTGCCTGGAATTTCCCTCATTTTAAGCCCGTTTCAGTGATATTCTGACTAAACACCTGATCTCGACATGTAAAGTATCCATAAGCCCAAACTTGTGGCAGGCAGCACAATCGCCCAGCACAGGGATCTAGCCAGGGAACATTCTTTGGACAGCAGGAGGAGCTCTGTGCAGCGCAGGGTTAAGATGCATGCAGGGCAGCTTCAAAGTCCAACAGTGCAGATATGAGGTAAGAGCACTGCCCACTGAACAACCATGCCAGCTATGCTTATGGCCATCCCTACAACACTGCCCACTGAACAACCATGCCAGCTATGCTTATGGCCATCCCTACAAATGCATGCCAGAAAGTAAAAAAAAAGCTTCTTTTATCATAGATTTTATAGATGGTATCTTAACTGGAATGTTTACTCATGTTTTTCTCATTTTATAAAGGATGCATTAGGAAAATGTATCAGATCATTGTGCAAATAAACAATACATTTTGTTTTAGTTGACAGTGTAAATCACGAAAAAGATATTACTGGAGAATAGTGAGGCTTTCCAAGAAATCGTTTGACCTGGATATGAACTCTCAAGCAGTGTCCCGCTGTATTACTGCCTCTGTCATGTCACGTTATTGTCGTTTATCCCATAAGTATGAGCTTTACTGAACTTGCCCCGTGCAGTTTGGTGTACAGACCACACGCGTTGCACACCGGCTCCCCCTCTGCGTTCCTGCGCCATAACGTGGTCGTGCTCGTTTGACAGTTCGCACAGGCCAGACCAAGGCGTCGCGTGGACACCTGAGGAGAGACAGAGGACACACAATGTTAAAGGCAACTGACTGATCAACAACACTAGCACCAATTTCTCAGTTTTTTCACCTTTTTGCTGAGAAGGCATTTTGAAAACTTGAAGCTTCAAGAATTATTGTAACTAATTTTCAAGGACTGTATATGACCTGTCCCTTATTCTGAAGTGTTCTTCAAATTACTGCATTATCGTTATAATAATAATAATAATAATAATAATCATAATAATAATAATGAGAAGTAGAATGCTGTTTGCATGACATAACTGGTTATTTTAAAATGGCAACCTGCTTAGCATTATAATTGATCAAATAATTGATCAAATTTAAAATAAGAGCTAACACTGATCAGACTTCGGGAAGCCAGGTTACCATGCGTTTTTGTGGCTTTATAAGCGGCCGGCAGAATCCGTTCACTTTGCTATACAGTCCGCAGGCATTGCACAGGTAGTGTCCTGCACTGTCACGCCTCCACAGTGACGTCGACACGGAGCCGCAGTTCACACACTCCCGGCCGTCTCCCACGTCGTCCAGCACGTCTGATTTCAGGATGGAAAATCGCACACTGTGATCGTACAAAAGCAGCAGTTCATACTTACAGATATAACAGCAACACCATCCTTTAATTAAGTCAAGATAACAGGTTCTGATTTTTTAAGAAGGCATTTATACGCATGGGACACTAGCAGGAAGGGGGTTGGGGGGGGGCAATATTTAATATAGGTTTATTTACCACCACCCCCCCAAAGAAAAAAAAATAGACCTCATTGCACCCCCCCACCCCCCAATATCAAACTTCCTTCTACACCCTTGACTCAACAGACTCTGATTTTAAATGGTGTTTTATAACATAACAGAAATGTTGTAAAAATCAATTCAAAGGGGCTTTTTTTGTTCAGCTCAGCTATCAAATAGTATATAGGATAAAGAAAACAGAGGTACAATGTACTATTTAGACATTTATTTTTCATTGAGTATAGGTCGGCCTACATGGGAAAACACGACATTTCCACACAGTGCTGCCAGTGTTTAAAATTCATCTTAAATACTGTTTATGTTTATATGAAGAATCTTCCTATTTTGCTTGTTATATGTAGTTCTGAGCTTAATAAGCTTTATTTGTGCTTTCATTTCCCAGCTTTCATTAGATTCTATTTTTATTACTTGGTGTACAACAGTTTGAATGCATAAAATTCATTTGTATGTTCTTAACAGGTATATTCTGAATCTCCAAGTCTTAAGGATAAACAACGAAAGCACATATTGTTTAAACATTTTGAAACAAATGTACATGTTATACATTTATACATTTTATAACACTGGATATGAACACTAAGAGATACATTAAACTGTGAGGGAAAATGCAAATATTATTTACATGGCAAAGTGGATGGGTGGATTTATTTCTATTTGATTGTACCAATTATATGTTTTATGATAATTAATCTTGCTTTGATAGTAAATAGAAAAATGCAGAGATTTAATACTGGCAATACTGGCAAAAATGATAACAATAAAACGTTATTTTGTGTCTGACTATGATCTGATTGTGGTAGGCCTATTTAGGCCTCTATAGTGAGGAATATATGAGAATCACGCACGTAGGTATAGGCCTACACGCTGCACAGGTATACAGTAAGCATTGACCTATTTGGCATGTATATGGTTAGAATATCCATGAGTCTGTTTAGTAATTTACGATTACAAATCTGAGTTAAATAACATAAAGCGAATAAAACATTTCAGATTCCCCTTGAGAAAAAAAGAACTATGGAAGCAATCAAATGATGAAGATTCGTAGGAGGCCAAGCTTGTTATACGGGATAAGCAAACTTGTTGCACTGATAAAAAAAAATCTATATACTTTTTTTAAGAAATACAATGTTTACCTCCACAGGGTCTGACTGGTAGCGGTCCTGCTCTTGTCTGCAACGCATGCAGCACGGTGCTGTCATAGGATCCGCCCGTCCAGGCTGTGGGTAGCTGCGGTCCGACGTAAGCCGAGTACGGACCGCTGAAGGAGCCGCCAGGTGGCCGACTGAGGGCGTACTGATCACGGCCGAAGCTGCCGTCCCTGGAGGCTCCGCCGTTCACCGGGGGACTCGGTGAATAGTGAAAGCGGCCGGATGCGTGAGGGCTCCCGGCGGCGTACGGGGAGCTCTCTGCTGCGGGCTGTGACCACACCGAGGGGCCGCTGACCGCAAGGCTCGCTTCAGTGGATACGCCGCCCGGCAGGTACGGGAGGCTGGAGATCACAGGTCCCACCCGGGTGGGCGGCACGTACACCGGAGAGGTGGGAGACGAGTGCATGTAGGCGGCTGCGGCGGCATGACAGTCGTACCCCGCCTGACCCGGGCCGGCCGCGATGGCAAGGGTTTGATACATATCGACAATCCGGCTCCCTTTCGGTGCTGCGCTGGAAGCTATATATTAATTAGCTTTATCTAAATTTGCTAATAGTGCGAAGTCCTCGAAACTGGGGTACACGGCGTTGCATCGGAGGAGAATTGAAAGACGCACGCAGACTATTGGGCTGCTCCGGCGGGGTGACCTCGGCCCCCTCGGTGCCGGACGGTGGGCTTTGCCGTCCCCGCTATACCGATGTGCTCCACTGTTGACAATACGGACTGGAGACTGTTGGCTTCAGCACGGGCTCAAGTCCATCTCGGTTCCGTCAAGAGATTAAGAAAAAAGTGAATCGTTTCCTGTGTAGCCTAAGTGGGAAAAAATGAACCGCATTAAAACCATTTTACTTAAGCTGATCAGTTCCGAAAGTCTTACTGATATTTAGTCGATTGAGTAACTGCAATTATACTACAGAAAACGATTTTCGTGTTTTATTTATTTTATCTAACAGCTTTTTTTTTGGTTGTTGGTATAACAATCAAGCTCTTTTAAAATATGTCATTATTCTCTAGGAGCAAAGGGAAAGGGAAAGTTTCCTGTGCTACAAGTGCCCATAATTTTCTGTCCCCTTCCTATCCCGGACAATACTAGAATATTTACATTGTATTTCTTTACTTGTTGTAAGTATATGTAGTTTGTTTTACTAAGCAAAAACCAAACATTTATCAACCGCAGGGCAGTCACGTCGAAGGACAATTCCCGGAATTTTTAAGTACGTATACTTAAACACATATTTCCAACTTATTATAGTTAAAAATCAAAAGATAAAAATCGAAAGTGAATAACCCCCACGGATATAGGAAACAAGTGCAGCATGTCATTACAGTAATTAAATAATCATATCACACGTATCAGATAACATTAAGAGGCAGGAAACCGCGACAATTTAACAGGCTACCAATATTATTAGGGCATTTTATATCAGAGCGTCTCCCCAGTGCTTTAGATGGAAGTGGGACTGTGATCGAGCGCAGTCCGAAAGACACTTATAGTGAAAGACGATCCTCAGACCTCTGGGTGGTACGCCATCCTGCCACTTGGCCGCTAATCCCGCTTCTCTTCGGGAGGAACAGAAACGGAGCCACTAAAGTGCCGGTGACGAAGCTGGAAAATAGGCGGAGATGTTTGAGATGGAAAGCGGACGTCATTCTCCGATTGGATTTAAAGCTTATCAGCGATTTGAGATGAGGTGTCAATGACAGTAGAGAATTAATATTAAAAATTAAAGCGCGACTGATTGTGGCCATTTTCAGATGTTGCTTAAAACTCAGAATTTTGGATTTAAATCGTTTCCTGTATATGTGTAATGTTTAGCATAGGCCTATCTGTTTTTTTTTCCTTAAAAGCTCCTTAAAACGTACTTCTAGAAAAGACATTGTGTTTTTTATTTTATCATTTTCGTTTTTTTTTTTTTCGGTTTCGTTTGCACTTTAATTGTGATTCAAATTTATGTGCGTTTTAGGCCTGTGCAATACCCCTCTTAGCGTGGCCAATAGCCTATATCGAAATTCACTTTTTATCGCTCTATTTTTATTTTACTCGGATTTTAATTATTATAAAATACAGTACCGCCAATAGTCAAACAATTATTTATTGTCAGGTATTTAATTCTTAAGCAAAAGAAGAGTGGGGAAAGAAGAAAACGAACAAAAAAGCAACTAAAAATATTTAGAACACTGGAAGCCACTCCAGGAAATACCTAAAACCATTACAAAAATGAAAATACTTCCTTATTCCAGACCATTTTAAATGATAATGTAACAATGTATTCAACGGATCAGTAGCAGCATTTTTACGATTTTTTTAAATAATCGACCTAATAATAATAATAATAATAATAATTTATTTCAAGGTTTTAACAAAAACATTTCAAAATGACAGTTTGCATCATCCTTTATAAACCAGGCCTGTATAATCCCTACTAAAGTTGCGAAAGCGAAGCGCGAAATATTTAACGTATAAAGTTGCACTTTCCGATTTCAAGCTGCTTCAACTCTAAAAGATGCGTAGTGGCATTCTTTGTTTTCAGAGGAAACATGATGAAAAAAATTAAGACAAAAAAATACAAGTTTTTATTGTCATTGTACAAATATACAACAAATAAAAGCAAAGACACGTTTTTTGGAAATGGTAAACAACCCAAGAAACTACCAAATATGATATTTAATCTCAAGGGAAAACTTTCAGTCACCTGTCATTTTACTGGGGTCGTGCCGACGGGAGTTGTGGGGCACAAGAAGAATGTTATTAGCTAATTGTCATTTGTGAAAACTGTTTCGTGAAATCTTGCGTTTTCCCCGAATTTATATAGTATTAAAATCGAAAATCCTTTTGCTTTGAATAAAATAACCATAAAAGTTCAAATGTGCTATTTTTGCTCTTAGCATTCTATTTATTTATGTATATATATTTTTATTTGCATGGTTTTAAATCGGGTTTTTTACGTGGTTCCATAGCCTAGCTACGTAAAAACGCGCGCGTCTTCTTCGGAATGACACTTAATTGGCATTAACTAAATGGCATGTTCAGATTATTTAAGCGTAGCCCTATAAATTGTTAGCCACTTTAGGTATAATTGTATGCAATAATAACAACGCAACGCAACATAGCACTGCATTATTTCTATAACTACGGTATTTCAGTACTATATCATTTTATCTATATTTTTTTTCATTTGCAGGCGGAAAAACGTTTTTGTGCTTTTGCTTGACATATTGCTAAAACAAAGGGATTTATAATTTTGCTTCGTTAAAACCCAATGTACCTTATCTTTAGCCTATATTATATTGTCAACTGTCTTGGAGGGAAGCTTTGATTGGACATAATTCATGATAAATTAAAGCAAAACACCTCTAAGGGCACATCAACAATAAATACAATAAAATTGCCCAAATGTTGAAGTAATATCTGCCTAAAGAATTATTCATATATGTTCATACAATAGCAGAACAAAACAAAACGGCATGCTGTCTTTTCTGCCCAAACTGTAAAGAAAGATATTTCTATTGGCCGAAAATATTTCCCAAGTTGGGATCCCGGCTTGAAATAAGCCATTAATCAAGTTTGAACGGCAAAGCCTGTGAAACATTAACGTGTGAGAGAGGCGCGAGCGCCTCGCGACAGGATAGCAAACAGAAACATGTGAAATGGGCACAATGCAGTTCGTAGTATGTTTGTTTGGGAAAGGGTTTTGTTTCAGCCATACTGGGAATTCTGTAGGAAAGGAACAGATACAATGCAAAAATGTACCTGCAATTAAGCTTAAAGAAATATAGCATAAAGAATTATAAAACTCTTAATTACTCATGGTAACATGTAGGCCAACATGCAGATATTTTCTAACAAATAAATTAAAATGAAGTTAGGTCCATAAATATTTCGATAGTGAAACAATATTAATAACATCGGCTCCGTATTACAATGGATTTGAAATTATACAACTATGATGGGACTGAACTGTAAAACTTTAGCTTTAATTCAATTGGGCACAAATTGAGGTTATGTAGTACATATTATCTTGTGACCAAGGAAAGAGATGGAGTGCTGAGACAGATGACCTGACCCTCACAATCTCCCAACCTAAACCCCGGTTTGGGATGAGTTGCATTGAAGAGTAAGAGCAAGGTAACCAACTTGTGCCCAGAACTTGTGGAAACTCCTTCAGGTCTGTTGGAGAAGCATTCCATGCCCTATGTGCACTTTTCCCCATTTCATCACTGAGTCTCAAGCTTAATAAAATAATTCATTTTGCGTAATTACAATCAAATTAACATCAGCACTTATCTGTTTAGGAGGTTTAGAAACTATAAGTCTAGTAACTGCTAAATTGCTAAAGCATTATTGAGGTACTCTAAATCTGGAAATACATTTTATTGTTTGTTAGCTTATCAATATAAACACAACTTTGAAAACAGTGAAACAATGTGCAGAGATATATGAAGTATAACTGTGACCATTTAAATGGAGGTAATACACATCGTTCACTTAGGACTAGGGCTTTAAAGCCAGTGCAGAGGTCTCTCTCTCTCACATTATCTGTAGGTTCCTGGCTGCTACTTCCAGATGTGGGCTTCCAAATTCCAGATGTTGGTTCTCACCCAGTTGAGCAGGTAACATCATGTTTGTGGGCGGTGTAATTAAACACGTACATCATCAGGTGTTTGGAGAGGGTAATGTTAACTTTTTTGACAAATGTGTAGGTGTCGAAGCTCAGCTAGGCTAAAGCCAGGGCTTCCTTGGTAGTGAGCTATGCTTGTGGTATTCCAGTGAATTGCTAGTGATTTCCTAACTCCACTGATTTTTCCACAGCCTAGCATTGTGAGTTTTGTAGGATGAATTGGGTTCTTGCAAAAACCTGCAAACAGTAACATTTTGCCAAATTCATCAATCAAGTATGTTTGTCCCGTTTCTCTTTATATTGTTTTTCCTTTTCATCATTTTGGTGAATGAAGTCTGACAAGGCCGCACTAAATTTTGTCAGTTTTGCTGGCAAAAAAAACAGGCTGCTGATCTTGCAATTCCCATGGTCTGACCTTCTGTATAGAAGAAATGGAACGTTTTATGGGTTCAACATATCTCCAAAAGTAATAGAGACTTGCATCATGCACTGACTCGAGTAGAAAGAATCAGAAATAATTCATATTTTGACTTACAAGAAAATGAATTGTAACCAAACAATGAAAGTCAGCTTCAGAGATAGATGTAACACAATATTATGTATTACTTACATTTAATATCCAGTTAATAATAAATTATTATGGAGTTCTGTTGTTTTCACATTGAGGTTGCTAATAATACTAGAGTATCTGAGCCACTTTGCAACCCCTTACAATGTTTAATGTTTATTTCCTACTTAAATTTAAATAAATACCAGCATTGTAGGTTCAAATTTAGTGTATGCTTGCATATTTTTTCTGTGTTAGTATGAATTTCCACCAGAAACCTGATATCTATATAATCTTCCCAAAGTCGAGAGATATGCAGTTTATATGACTTGATATCTTTCAGTTACCCCTTAGATTGATTCAACACAACATTTTAACCGCAATTACTTTATACACTACAAAGGTATTATCCTTAATTTGCAGGAACTACATATTGCTGTAAACCCCTAAATATTCTTCAGGAATATTGTTGAATTTTAAACATCATGCTGTTCATAGTATCTTTGATCTTGATTAATGTTGCTCTCTCACCACCTGGTTCAGAAACCGTCCTCAGATTGAAGAGGTCACTGAGAAAACAACCTCCGCATCACATTACCTCATATCTCGCTCTGTCACTTTGGAACAATAGGCTTACGAGCTGTGACAGTGGCTCTGATTGCCTCCCTGTGTTTGTCCCTGTGCTCTGTGAATGCGCCAACAAAAGTATTCATGTTTACCAACGCTGTGCTCCGTATTTGACCAATGCCATTAAGCTACCTAGAAACATTCCTCATTTTAACTGCCAGCAAGGTTTGATTGTCTTGGGACATTGCTGTAACAGATTTGGACATATTTACCATGGATCAAAGCCACTACTCTGGTATTCAGAGGAGCTGGTGTGTAGGGCCATGTACTAGGATTCGTTTTGCTATATTGTTTGCAGGGATCAACTAAAGTGATAAAGCTTTTCTTCCCCCTCGACGTTTTAACAAAATCCCAGAATTCACATATGGTCTTTAAAGCTGAATTTTTTTTCACACGAAAAAGGTACATGATACAATAGAGGAAGGAGTTTGTACAGGCGTTAGATCAAAACAACGTCCACAGTAGAAACCTCGCTTATACCTTCCCACGGTGGCTGACCCAAGCCGCTCTCTACCTCCCCTAAATCCTATGCGTATATGGCAGCTTGTCTACTAATCTGGAGGCGTATAAATGACTTTCTGTATTCTACCTTCATATTTATTCATTTTGCAGATGCTTTTACCCAAAGCAACTTATGACTGAGAAAGCAGGGTCAGTGCCTGGAGCAGCTGGGCTTAAGGGCCTTGCTTAAGGCCCCAGTGGTGACATCACTCTGCCAAACATCCAATCATAGGCACTAACCTACAGAATCACCCAAATACTTGGCCTGCTCCATACAGTACTTAAACCTGGGGCCTTCCACACACCTCCAACTCCAACCGCTAACCTCTTGAGACGCCCATCTCTTTCTGTGAGC